CTTCCATTTAGGCTGCAACTGGTTTGAAGGGGATCCTTCCTTTCAAGTTTTTAATAAAACTAAATCTCCTGGGGAAACAGGCTGCTCATGAGTCTTAGGATCCGGCACTGGAAGAACTTTATTACCATACTCTATCATAGCCTTCTGTACCTGGCCTAAATGGATAATATACTTTATCTGATCTTAAATTTCTGAATCAAACAGCATGTCAGAGGTGAGAAAAGACCTTCCATACAGCATCTCATATGGGCTAAGCTTTCGGGCAGTCTTGGGTGCTAATCTCATCCGGAGAAGGGCAAGAGGCAATAGTAGAAGTAACATTTCTGAGGTCTCCTGGCAAAGCTTGAGCATCTATTACCTGAGTAAGACCCACTGCGGTCTAATCTGCCTTTCTAACTCCTGCCTTCATGTAACTACTGCCATCAGTAAACCACTCAACATCTGGATTCTCCAGAGGCTCATCTCATAGGTCAGGTCTACTAGAATACACTTGTTCTATAGTTTCTACACAAGAATGAATTAACTCTCCAATACCCTCAGGTGGCAACAGAATTGCTGGGTTCAGGACATGGTTACCTCAGGCAAAGCCAACAACAGAGCCTAATATTTTGTGAAATACCCTCCTGTTAGCCATTGATGTCTTTTAATTTCTAAGGCCCCTTGCACCTGGTGTGGCCTAAAGCCAGCTTGGTAGGTTCCTCCACCAAGAGTGCTACAGCAGCAACAGGCTTTAGGCATGCAGTACACCGTCTGGCCACTGAATCTAGCTATTTAGAAAAACAGGGGGGCTGGCGCTATGGCGTAGCGGGTAAAGCCACCGTATGCAGTGCCCGTTATATCTTAATGTTAGCCGTCGCAAAGCACACTGGACACCGGAGTAAGGGAAAGGGTTTATTGGGGAACACCCTACAGACCAGAGTGAAGGGGCGGCGAAGGAAAAAGAGAGAAGGAGACTGTGAAAGAGAGACAGAGGAGGGAGAAGAGAGAGGAGAGAAGCCAAGAGAGGCCAAGAGAGCGCAGGAGAGAAGGGCCAAAGCCAAGAGCCCAGAGGAGGAGGCTAGAGAGAGGAACCGAGAGAGAGCAGGATAGAAGGGCCAAGAGAACACGTGTGCAGGAACAGGCCCTTTTAAAACTTTGCCTGAGGGCGGGCAGGGAAGCAGGAACAGCGAATCCCATTAGGATGGGGGTGGAGCCTGGTCAGGTAGCTGGGCCATGCAGCCACCTGGCTACAACTGCGCCGGTTTCCTAACAGTGCCAGCATCCCATATGGACGCTGGTTCAAGTCCTGGCTGCTGAACTTCTGATCCAGCTCTCCTCTGTGGCCTAGGAAAGCAGTAGAAGATGGCCTACGTCCTTGGGCCCCCACACCCGCGTGGGAGACTTGAAAGAAACTCCTGGATCCTGGCTTTGGAACAGTACAGCTCCAGTGGGTGCAGCCAACTGGGGAGTGAACCAGCAGATGGAAGCCTTCATCTCTTTCTGCCTCTCCTTCTCTCTCTGTGTAACTCTGACTTTCAAATAAATAAATAAATCTTTTTAAAAAAAAAAGAAAAATAGGCTACTGGTCATGGAAGTGGACCCAATTTCTGAGTCAGTACTCCTAGAGCAACCCCTTGCTTCTCTGCTATAAACAAGGTGAATGGCCTACTCAGGTTAGGGATTCCTAATGTTGGAACTTCCCTTAAAAGCCCTTTAATTCTTTGGAATGTCTTTTGTAGCTACCCTGTCCAGCAGAGTGTGTCTGTGTCAGGACCTTTTAAAATTTCCTACAAAGGCTTGGCTATTAACCCAAATCCTGGAATCCATGTTCTATAGAATCCTGCCATTCCCAGCAATGTCCTTAGCCATTCTTTTTTCTGTCTGTGGTGATGCCATACATAGAATACTTTGCTTTTTCTTGACTGAATAACACACTTTCCTAGGGTTAGAATATATCCCAGGTAATCTACCTCTAGTTTAGAAATGTGAGCTTTTGTTGGAGAACTCTGCATTTTTGTTTTCTTAGATTCTGGGTTCAATGGGATGCAGAAGAAAGTATCCCTTAGGCAAGGGTTTAGCACACAATAGGATGCATGGAGCAACTGCCTTATCAACAGCCCTGAGGTCTTTAACCATTTTATACTCTCCATTTGACTTTAAAGCTGGCAAGTATTATAGAGAGAATGACACAGAACCAAGAATCCATGTTTGAGAAACTTAATTAACTTTAAATTACCACCTAAGGATAATAACAAATCTCTTAAACATAACTAAAACTTATGAGACATAAGAATATCCTATACATAACACACTAAAACAAAGTTAATGAAATCAGTGATCATCAGAGGCTCTTGACATGAGCTGCTAATGCTATGGAAGCTTTTTGAATACACAAATTCCATCAGTATTTCAGCCAAGGCCATGAGCAAAGTGGAAGTCCTCTCCTCCCTTCATAGATGAGTACATCCTTCTTTGATGACCCTTTCTTTCCACTGGGACCTCAACCACAGATGTCCTTTATATAGGACACTTTTCATACCAGTGTCCTGGCTTTCCATGCCTGGCTCTTGTGGGCTTTTCAGCCAGACCAGAATGCCTTATGGGCTGATTCTGAGGCCACTAAGTGTTACTTACAGCAACTGTCATTTTATGAGTCTGCTGTATGGACTGCCTCCCATGTTGGAGCATTTTCTTTTTTAAATCCTATTATTACTAAACACTTAATCCTATGTATATGATCATTAAACACTTAAAATGTTACTTTTACCATCTAGCCCATGAGAATTTAGGATCCCATGACAAGTTTTCAAACAGTACCCTTAGAAGTGAGTCCATAGGAATGTATGCAGAACTATACAGCTAAAACAATCTCTTTTTAAAGCCTGAGAAGATCTTCACAAACCTTATTAAGCATGTGATTTGGATACATTGCATTAGCTATAATTCTGACACCTTACAGTCTCCATTTGTACACAAAATGGGGTTCATTATTTTACTAAGCCCATTGAGAGAGCTCTCAAATTTTTTCTTTCTCTTTTTTTAATAAACCATCAAAGAGCCAAACTATCATACCAAAACACAAAGAAAACAATGCCTGGTTCAAGATGAAGCCTAGGAAGAATCACCTTGCCTGAGATACTGAACCCCAAGAGACCAAAGGGAAAATTGCCTGGTCCAAGATGAAATCTCAGAAGGCCCACCATGTTTGGGATACCAAACCCCAGGAGGCAAAGAGAACCAGTCTAAAGCTAAAAAACACAAAAAGGCCAAAATCACTCCACTAATCAGGCATGCAGCATGTGACTGGCCAAAGGGCTGCCATTTTGGGGCGGAGTCTGTGACCCATCTTCCAGTAGCAACAGAAGTCCTCATGGTGTCCTCCTAGTTGGCAACCATGTGTTTTTACTGGAAACCGCCATTTGGGGGTGGAAGTCCCAAACTTCATCTCAGGAAATGGACCCTCCGCCATGTTTGGACTCCCACTTCCTGAGACCATGTTGTTACTAGGCATCAGAACTGGGTTTTTGTTTGTTTGTTTTTCAGTTTGTACCACCCAAAACTGGCAAATGAAAAGTCACTCTAGCATTTCTGATTTTAAAACAAAAACCTGAGGCAAACCCATTGTCAATAACCATGAAATCCTTCTGTATGACTGAAAGGCTTAAGTTTTAGCTTTCCCAAGTACATACATTATTCTTAAAAATACATCACAAGCCAGCACCCCGGCTCAATAGGCTAATCCTCCACCTAGCAGCACTGGCACACCGGGTTCTAGTCCCGGTCAGGGCGCCGGATTCTGTCTCAGTTGCCCCTCTTTCAGGCCAGCTCTCTGCTGTGGCCAGGGAGTGCAGTGGAGGATGGCCCAAGTGCTTGGGCCCTGCACCCCATGGGAGACCAGGATAAGTACCTGGCTCCTGCCATCGGATCAGCGCGGTGCGCCAGCCACGGCGGCTATTGGAGGGTGAACCAATGGCAAAGCAAGACCTTTCTCTCTGTCTCTCTCTCTCACCGTCCACTCTGTCAAAAAAAAAAAAAAATCACAAACATCTTGAAAGAATTTAAATATCAGGATAAAGAAATTATGGTATATATACACTATGGAGTACTACTTTGCTGCAAAAAAATAAATTAAATCCTGTCTTTTGCAATAAGATGGTTGAAACTGGAAACCATTATGCTTACTGAACTAATCCAGTCCCAAAAAGACAGATATTATATTTTCCCCTGATCAGAGGTAATGGATAGAATCCCTGAAATACAATGTATTAAAGTGAAATAGATAATTTGAGAATCGATAATGGTTTATAGCCCTTCTTTCTTGTTGAGGAACAGTATTTTGTTTTGCCTCTTTTTCCTCTTCATACTATTTGTTGAAATCTTTCATTTATAGACGTGTTAACTATATGAGCATTAAGTGTACTAAAAAAAGATTATTGTAAAAATTAAGAGTGGGAACATGAGAGGGAGGGGGAAGAAGGGTTGGGGCATGGGTGGCAGGTAGTGTGGGGGAAGTTCCACTATGTTCCTACAACGGTAAAAAGGAAATATATGAAACTTGTATAACTTAAATAAAATACATATGATTAAAATTTTAAAAAACCGTGGAAGTTTAAACAAAAAAAGAATTTAACTATCAGCAAACACTTGTAAACTGGCCCCTTTTCTTCTTGCCTGTTCTCCCTACTTCCATTAACCCTAGCATGTTGTGTTGGCTTTTGCCCACCCAAAGCCACCTAGATTACGAACATAAAATACGTTAACATTTGCATCTTAGCTTTACAGACTTCCATTTCCAAGGCAGGAAAGTGCTCTGCTGCTTCTGAAACCAAAACCAAAATCAAAACCAAACCCCAAATCGAACCCGCAACCGCTTGATCTCTAAGGCTTCCGAAAGCTGAAAACCGCCTCAGCTGCGTTTCCGGAGAAAAAAGGAATTGCACGTTTGATGAGGTAAAAACCCCGCGCGTTTGTTTAGCAAATATTTGGGGGAGAATGGGGCTAAAGAAGTGGAATTATCATACCCTCCGTTCCTCCTGGAGGCCACCTGGAGGAGAAGGCGGGCTTCTGCTCTTCCTAGTTTTTCAATACACTAGAAAAAAACGGAAGTGTTTACGTGGCACCACGCCCAGGTCCCAGATAAGAGGCGGTACTTCCGGGGGAGGGGTCTCCTGAGTGACAGGTAAAGGAACAAAGCAACACAGAGCTAAGGAGGTGTAGCTTCCAGCTTATTAATTATAAAATTATCTATCTAATCTTTACCATATCATCTTGAGCATAGGAAGAGGAGTGGAATCACAGTTCCCACGTATTTGACATTTCCGATCCAGGCTGCACTTGAAAAAGGAGATACTGCAAATTTTTTGGATCTTGAGAAGTACAATAGTAACTTAGAGACAGAAAATACAGAGGAACTATCATTAGAGAAAGTGGAGTCAAAAATGAATGGGGGCAGTCTCATCTCAGGATCCGAGGACTTATTCAAGAGCGGCTTGAGAGAAGTACTGTCCAATGGAGCTGCGTGAGAAATGAGAACTGTCAGCTTTTGTACTGGTGTGCCAGGCGTCGCTCAGGAGTAACAGATGTGTGTGACATAAAGGTAGAATCATCAACTGAAGATTAATGGATTCACACTTCAGAAACTTGGGCTTTCTCACAATTATCTGTAGTTCCCCAACTACAAGACAAATTATGAAAAATTAAACTCTTGGTCTTTCCCATATTTAAAGTAATTTTTTCAGAAGGACTAATACTTAGAAAAGGATAAAGGAGTCCTTTTATTCTAGCAGGTCCAAAAATTTGAGTTTCAGATATCTAATAAGGTATAAAATAAGTCTTATGAAAATCTTGTTTAGAGGAAGAGCCAATTTTAAATATTCTCAAAGATAGTCACACCGCTAGTTAAAAAAGTTGCTGGATGAGTTTCCTTAAAAACTGAAGCTGTGTTTGAAATTGTATGACTTAATATAGAATGCATGGTCACTCAGGATGCACCAATTAGGCAGATGGCAATCAAAGAATATAAAACTGAGAAACAAGAAGACTGAAGGTCCTGATCTATTCACCTCCAAAGCATAAAGATATGCTGTGAATTTACAGTGTACAGAAACAAAAATTTAAATATGAAGAGCTTCTATTTGAAAGCTATATGAAAAATAAGAAATTTGTCTAGTAAACTTGATGATTAAAAGAAGGAACTTTCTAAAAGGAAGAACTCACTTAAAAAAAAGTACTACTTCTTTGCAAGTTGAACTTTAAATAAATGTTACTGTGTGAGCAATAACAGGAATTTTCTATTTGATAATGCCTAGAGATCCTTTATGTCAAGCTAGCTGATCATCAGAAGGAAAATGGTCACTCCCCTTGAAAATGCTACCCTTTAGAAAGAGTTCTAAACCTGATAAGAAACATGCTTTTCTGTTTTTATTTTTAATTTATTTTATTAATAACATAGAGAAAACAGATTTCATGTATCTTACAGATATATACAGTTAGGAACATAATGATATTTCAATCTCTTCCCCCTCCCTCCCTCCCCCATCTTTTCTTTCTTTCTTTTTTTAACTTTTATTTAATGAATATAAATTTCCAAAGTACGACTTATGGATTACAATGGCTTCCCCCCCATACCGTCCCTCCCACCCACAGCCCTCCCCTTTCCCACTCCCTCTCCCCTTCCATTCACATCAAGATTCATTTTCGATTATCTTAATATACAGAAGATCAGCTTAGTATACATTAAGGATTTCAACAGTTTGCTCCCACACAGAAACATAAAGTGAAAAATAATAGATGATTTTTTTAAATGATGATGAAATCAGATCAGACCTATTGTCATGTTTAATCCCAGCGAGAGTCAAGTTGGGAATTGATGATTTTTTTTTTTTACAGAAGATCAGTTTAGTATGAATTGAGTAAAGATTTCAACAGTTTGCACCACAATAGAAACACAAAGTGAAATATATTGTTTGAGTACTCATTATAGCATTAAATCTCAATGTACAGCACATTAAGGACAGAGATCCTACATGAGGAGTAAGTGCACAGTGACTCCTGTTGTTGACTTTACAAATTGACACTCCTGTCTATGGCATCAGTAATCTCCCTATGCTCCAGCCATGAGTTTCCAAGGCTATGGAAGCCCTCTGAGTTCTCCGACTCTTATCTTGTTTAGACAAGGTCATAGTCAAAGTGGAGGTTCTCTCCTCCCTTCAGAAAAGGTACCTCCTTCTTTGAAGACCTGTTCTTTCCACTGGGATCTCACTCACAGAGATCTTTTGCCAGAGTGTCTTGGCTTTCCATGCCTGAAATACTCTCATGGGCTTTTCAGCCAGATCAGAATGCCTTTAGGGCTGATTCTGAGGCCAGAGTGCTATTTAGGACATCTGCCATTCTATGAGTCTGCTGAGTATCTCGCTTCCCATGTTGGATCACTCTCCCCTTTATTTATTCTATCGGTTAGTGTTAGCAGGTACTAGACTTGTTTATGTGCTCCCTTTGACTCTTAGTCCTTTCATTATGATCAATTGTGAACTGAAATTGATCACTTGGACTAGTGAGATGGCATTGGTACATGCCACCTTGATGGGATTGAATTGGAATCCCCTGGTATGTTTCTAACTCTACCATTTGGGGCAAGTCAGCTTGAGCATGTCCCAAATTGTACATCTCTTCCCTCTCTTATTCCCACTCTTATGTTTAACAGGGATCACATTTCAGTTAAATTTCAACACTTAAGAATAACTGTGTATTAATTACAGAATTAAACCAGTCATATTAAATAGAACAGACAAAAAAAAAATACTAAGAGGGATAATGCATTAAGTTGTTCATTAACAGTCAGGGCTATGCTGATCAAGTCACCGTTTCTCATAGTGTCCATTTCACTTCAGGAGGTTTCCTTTTTGGTGTTCAGTCAGTTGTCACCAATCAGGGAGAACATATGTTATTTGTCCCTTTGGGACTGGCTTACTTCACTCAGCATGATGTGTTCCAGATTCCTCCATTTTGTTGCAAATGACTGGATTTCATTGTTTCTTACTGCGGTGTAGTATTCTAAAGAATACATATCCCATAATTTCTTTACCCAGTCTACCGTTGATGGGCATTTAGGTTGGTTCCAGGTCTTGGCTATTGTGAATTGTGCTGCGATAAACATTAGGGTGCAGACCGCTTTTTTGTTTGCCAATTTAAACTCCTTTGGGTAAATTCCAAGGAGTGGTATGGCTGGATTGTATGGTAGGGTTATATTCAGGTTTGTGAGGACACTCCAGACTGACTTCCATAGTGGCTTTACCAGTTTGCATTCCCACCAACAGTGGGTTAGTGTCCCTTTTCCCCCACAACCTCGCCAGCATCTGTTGTTGGTAGATTTCTGAATGTGAGCCATTCTAATTGGGGTGAGGTGGAACCTCATTGTGGTTTTGATTTGCATTTCCCTGATTGCTAGTGACCTGGAACATTTTTTCATGTGCCTGTTGGCCATTTGGATTTCCTCTTTTGAAAAATGTCTATTGAGGTCCTTGGCCCATCTCTTAAGTGGGTTGTTGGTTTTGTTGTTGTGGAGTTTCTTGATCTCTTTGTAGATTCTGGTTATTAACCCTTTATCTGTTGCATCGTTTGCAAGTATTTTTTCCCATTCTGTCGGTTGTCTCTTCACTCTCCTGACTGTTTCTTTTGCAGTACAGAAACTTCTCAATTTGATGCAATCCCAAATGTTAATTTTGGCTTTGACTGCCTGTGCCTCCCGGGTCTTTTCCAGAAATTCTTTGCCTGTGCCAATATCTTGAAGGGTTTCTCCAATATTCTCTAATAACTTGATGGTGTCAGGTCGTAGATTTAGGTCTTTAATCCACGTTGAGTGGATTTTTGTGTAAGGTGTAAGGTAGGGGTCTTGCTTCATGCTTCTGCACGTGGAAATCCAGTTTTCCCAGCATCATTTATTGAATAGACTGTCCTTGCTCCAGGAATTGGTTTTAGATCCTTGGTCAAATATAAGTTGGCTATAGATGTTTGGGTTGATTTCTGGTGTTTCAATTCTGTTCCATTGGTCTATCCATCTGTTTCTGTACCAGTACCATGCTGTTTTGATTGCAACTGCCCTGTAGTATGTCCTGAAATCTGGTATTGTGATGCCTCCGGCTTTGTTTTTGTTGTACAAGATTACTGTAGCTATTTGAGGTCTCTTTTGCCTCCATATGAATTTCAGCATCATTTTTTCTAAATCTGAGAAGAAGGTCTTCGGTATCTTGATTGGTATTGCATTGAATCTATAAATTGCTTTTGGGAGAATGGACATTTTGATGATATTGATTCTTCCAATCCATGAGCATGGAAGATTTTTCCATTTCTTGGTATCCTCTTCTATTTCTTTCTTTAAGATTTTGTAATTCTCATCATAGAGATCTTTAACGTCCTTGGTTAAGTTTATTCCAAGGTATTTGATTGTTTTTGTAGCTATTGTGAATGGGATTGATCTTAGAAGTTCTTTCTCAGCCATGGCATTGTCTGTGTATACAAAGGCTGTTGATTTTTGTGCATTGATTTTATATCCTGCTACTTTGCCAAACTCCTCTATGAGTTCCAATAGTCTCTTAGTAGAGTTCTTTGGATCCTCTAAGTAAAGCATCATATCGTCTGCAAAGAGGGGTAGTTTGACTTCTTCCTTCTCAATTTGTATTCCTTTGATTTCTTTTTCTTGTCTGATGGCTCTGGCTAAAACTTCCAGAACTATGTTAAATAGCAGTGGTGAGAGTGGGCATCCCTGCCTGGTGCCAGATGTCAGTGGAAATGCTTCCAACTTTTCCCCATTCAATAGGATGCTGGCTGTGTGTTTTTTATAAATTGCTTTGATTATATTGAGGAATGTTCCTTCTATACCCAATTTGCTTAGAGTTTTCATCATGAAAGCGTGTTGAATTTTATCGAATGCTTTCTCGGCGTCTATTGAGATAATCATATGGTTTTTCTTTTGCAGTCTGTTAATGTGGTGAATCACATTGATTGATTTGTGAATGTTGAACCATCCCTGCATACCAGGGATGAATCCCACTTGGTCTGGGTGGATGATTTTCCTGATGTGTTGTTGTACTCTATTGGCCAGAA